TTGTGCTAGCTGACACCTCTCCATCTTCTTCTTCTTCATCAGGATCCAAATGTTCCATAAGGAGCTTGAACTATTTAAAAAACAACCAAAACCCACCCCCCAAAAAAACCCAAAACAAAAACAACAAAAAACCAACAGATCAGTCCACATTCTAACTTTAAAAATAGACATTCATATCACACTACATTAAATAAAAACAAATGAAAAGATAAACAGGGTAAAACAAATGGCAGACAACTTCAGACTTCAACAACTTATGTTTTGTTCTACAAACTTTTTACTGTCATTTTCTAGTAGATATGTAAAAGCTTTCTTCCTGTGTTTCCAAAATTGCAAGTTTTTTGTATTTAATATTTTAAAGAATTGGGAGAAAGAAAAAAAAGGTAAATACACTAGATCTAGTCTTTGTTCCTATGATGGAAACAGTTAGGGATCAAGTAAACAAGTTATATGGTAGAGGTATACAAGATGGATATCAGAAATTAGAAAATACTCTGTAAAGATGAATATCCTTTAGTTGAAACTAATTTTTACTGTGTTCAAATTTATTAAAAGACTTTGAAAGATAATCCTGCTAAACATCCTGAAAGGAAATGGTAAATTATCAGTATATCGCATAAGATTACCAGGAACTTAACATTTTGAAAAGTTCATCCAATACATCAACATCTACTTTCAAGTTTATACTGTGTAACCTAGTTTAAAAGGATTTCAGATTTTCTGCAAAGCTACTTTACTTACATCTAAGTACTGTTTTACTATACTCCTCTTCACTTCTTCTGTGATCTTGGAATTAGCCATATCACTCCGCAGAAAATCCAGAGTTTGTTTTGGATGGAAATGAACTCCCGTCTTCCTGTTTATCGCTTTATCATAAACTTTTGCAGATTCAGATGGAGAATATTTCTGAATTTTACTGTTTAAAGAAACAAAAGGGAAGAGCTTTTAAGGAAAGTCCAAAGCAATATCAAGGAAAAGCTTTTAAAATCTTCAGTATAAGTAGTTATATTTTAATCAGTCTGTATACAATAGACATCGTGGTAAGCAATGATTTCACTGCTTTTTCTAAGCCAAAGTTTAATTACATTTAACCTATTACATTTATGTTTTTTTCTCTTATACAAATCTATTGCTTTAACAATTATTAACAAATAACTTCTTAAAGAAAACCAACTTCCAAACTTAATCCTTACAAAGAACCAACGAGATTACAAGATGGCCTATTATCTAAATATCCTTACCTATCAGAGAATCCGCAGAGGTTCTTTAAATGCTGCTTCAGCATCAAAAGTAATAATATGCCTTGGGAGACATTTGCAAATTCAATTAAAGGAGCTGAATTTTCTGGCAAACATTTCATCACAGCATTAATATAATTTTCTTCATCAGAATCTGAATCAGAGTCTACTCGTTTCCGTAACCTACGAGGCTTAGAAGCTTCCTCATCAGTTTCGCTCTCACTACAAGTGTTACTGTCACTCTCAGGCTCCTCATCTGATGAAGGCTTTCTTTCTTTTTTTTTGTCTTTCATCATAGACTGCGAGACAGAGAAGTTAATACACATTCCAAAATTAGAGTAAGTAGCATCATATACGTTTCTAAAAAATCTTTCCAAAATCATTATTGGCTTAAATTAGGAAGAATTCCCTTAACATTGTTATTAATTCATAACTTGATATTCAAAGATTAAAATTATTCATGGCAAAAAGATGCTGAATTATAACCCAAGGCCCCTGAAAAATTGATCCAAAGTCCACATTTTTATGCAAGGTGGTTACAGAAAGAATTGAAGCAATAAGTACTCCAGTGGTATGTTATTCTTAAAAAGACTGCTCAAGCTTGTTAGCAGAGACAGTAAAATGCAGTAGAAGGCCAAATACAATACATCAGGAAGTAAATTCCATTTTTGTTTCACTTGAATATAATTTTTGCATGTTACAGGCAATTTGGTACAGACTAGTCCAAGCTGTTTTTAATCCTTGTCTCTGTTAAAATTCTATGACACTAATTAGACTGCTAACCAGAGAAACCCTCAAGTCATCACATACAGTATTACTAATAATCAGTTCTACTACTTGTAGAGCTACAGAATTTCACATTTGCATTATTACTGCACATAGTATGATTTTTCATAACACAGAACTTAAAATGCCCCAAGTAGGATCTCATCCTCTATGTGTTGGTGCTACATGCTGGTTCCCCATCTAAAGAATGCACTGTCTCTTTCTAGTAGATTAAAAATTGACTTCAGTAGGGTGAGAATTCAAAGCAGGACACCTTCCAGGTATCAACTCTGACTTGTACTTAGTAGTCAGATTCGAAATTCTAGAAATGGGTTTTTTTCCTGACACTTAGGTCTTTAAGAAACAGAAGCCTTTTTCTTACAGGCTTGTATATTGCCATGACAACAGACACTACACCATTATTGAGATTATTATATACTACCTTAAGAAAAGACATACTGCACTCTCTTTTCTTGCAATAAACAATGTATTGTCTTTAATTGTAAAGTCTCCCAGGTGACACATATGTAACTGCCATCAGCTACTTGACAACAAAAGAAACAGCAAACTGGATTTTATTTTTAAAACTATACAAACAACCACTATAAACCATTATTTCATAATTTACTGCATGCAATTAATATTAATTACAATTAATTCAGCAATATTAGGGAATTATTTAGATTTAATATTAAGATCTCAAAATATGTAATTCTTTTTTAATAACATAAGCAGCAATGTAAGGAATGTTTTTAACTAGTGTCTACCAAATGCAGGCCAGAAAAGAAAGGGTTGTTTGTTTTTTAACTACTGGTTACAAAGTAACACTACTAGTCCATATCATAATAATGGTACTGTATTCACTGAAAAAATTGACCAAATTACAGAGAAGCTTATGTTGCCACCATAATATACTAAAATATAAATGCACATACCTCTTTAAATGTCTGTAGTAAGTTGCTACCAGAAACTGATAGCGTAATGTCTATATGATGCATTATAAACAGTGGCTCTTCCTGTGTTTGATAAGGAAAACAGGCTAGATTGTCTGCTATGTACAAGAGCATATTCACCTCTGTTTTCTGGAAATTAAAAAAAAAGTACATATACATAAAAATATCTTAGATTTACACACTTATCCTGTGTTCCTAACAGTTTAGAGCAAAAACACAATCACAAATTTTATTCTACATACTCCCCAAACGCACTCTAAACAACATGTATATATGCAAAATTTAGTTGTACCTGAAGATATATTATTTCTGATCAATCCAAACTGAGTACAGAAAGGTATAGAATGATGCAAAAGTAAATGCATTCTATTATACAGGTAAATACCTTATATTACAAAGCAAAACAAAGTACCTTAGGGAAATAAAGTTATCAATAATTATGTCATAAAAACACATTGTAAAAGGAGAATTTAAGCTTGTAATGCTATATTTTATTTTCTTTTTGAGTGAAGAAAATGTGATGCTTACCGCAGTATCATCAAAGAGGTTGAGTAAAGAAATTAGAAATGCTCGTCTGTGTTGACGGTTCCCTCGGATCATGGAGTATAGGTGTGAACACAATGCATTGGATGATTCATCGTGTCTAAAACCTCTTACGGGATCCTTTGGACAGGTATTGATTGCCTGTTGTACCTGGTAAGACATCTTCATACCAGCCACTGCTTTCATCTGAAATGGAATAGTGTTTATTTTTATTTAAACCATTGTTTTCAAGCAGTAAATCTGAAAGTGGAAAATTAAACAAATGCCTGTCAACAGAAACTGTTAGCTCATTTTTTAGCTTATTTCTTTTAAGCGGATGCTCATCTGAAGTTTAAATTTCAAACATGCACTAAGGTGCACTACTACCTTTCAAGTTGGCAAACAGATTAAAACAGAATTTGTGGTAGAGATCAAAGTGTCTTGTGAATTGCTTTCACTGTAAATTCCATGTTAGAAACATACAGCTAACCTGTTTACCCACTGCAGCCAGGTATTCCAATTTAAACAGTTTTCAAGAATACTGAAATGTTTTCATATGTGAACAGAATATTTTACCAAATGTGTATGCTTGATGTCACTTGTAGTGAAACCAACAACTGAGTCCATATTAGTACAATAGGACTGACAAACACAAAATTAGGGTTTTTTGCATATATTCTGTAATTTTCAGCTGATTTTACTTACGTCAAGGCTCCTGCTCTAGTTTCAGAACAAACAATCTCTAGCTAGGCTACATATCCAGTTCTCCTCATACTACCTCTGCTTCTGTTCAGTATAGCTGTCTCTTTATCTATACATTGTCTTAAATCCCAGCTGCCTTCATAGCAAATTTCATCTGCTAGCCTTCACCTGCTGGATTAGGTACCTGCTTGTATGCCATGAACAGTGCAATGCTCCAATTACAGTGGAATACAGTCAGATTTGGGAAGCCCCACAATGTAGTACATACACTGAACCAAGACTGGGGCCCTCTGAAATAAGGAGAAGTTGCTGCAGCTCAATTTCAGATCTTAAGCAGAACTAATGGCACTATGCCACAACTCCACAAGTCCTCACTTAACCCTCAGATTTTCCTTTCAGCAAGATTCCTCAGTTCTTAACACCTTCCTATGCTCTTTCTGCTTAGATTACAATTTATAAAGCCTTGATGCCTTAACATTCTAATACATATACACTAAGGACGTCTACTTTTACAAGGTGTTCTCTTCCCTAGTCTACTGATACAGGAAAATCATTGCTAAACATTATGAAACATCTGTCCTTACCTCTTATCAAAGAAATGCTCTTATGTACTATTCAGTGAGGAAAACACTACTGTGAATTATAAATTAAAGGAACTTTTAGGCTGGAAGAGATGCTTCAAAACATTATATCCTATCTATTTCTAAGAACAGAAATCTCCAAATGGGAAAGAATTGGCATCTTCTTTACAACAGCTTATAGTTATTGTTTATTTGTTACTTTATATTCTTTTTCTGCAGTTGAAGCCTATTCAAGTGTTAAGTCACCAGAGAACATAACAGTATTTTGTAAAATTTTAAATTAGAATTACTTACGTGAATGAACCCAGCATATTTTTTGTCTATTTCCACCAACTGCTGGTCAGCTTTGTTTCGCATAGAGGGCTCTGGATCTGTGCCCATAGCAATTAAGTATGGCACACACTTGAAAAACAAATGAAATTATTATTCGGAGTCATTGTACCTCCTCTTTCTCACTCTTCTATTACACTATTGTTGTTGTTATATTCTGACTACTGCAGAAACTAGAATAAGAAGCTCTATGTAACTTAATACCTGACTACTTTTTGTAAGCAAACAGTACAAAACACACAAGAGACTAGCATTATAAACAATAGAAGCTGTGTGAGGTTTCAGGTAGTATTTCCATTTCTCTCAAACTTTAAAGTCAATTTACGCTAAAAAAAGAGCCATTTAAAAAAAACCAACACTGCCATTATGACTGAACATGCACAAGGGCTGTGGTATAAACAAATAATTACAAAAATATTATGTAAGCAAAGAATAATAGAGATAACTGAAGTTCTGACATTGACTCTGGAATTCCATAGTATTTGGAGGATGTGGGGACTTGAGGTGGAGGCAAGCTGACACAGTTTTCAGGATAAAGAATCAAATAAAGAAAATAGCTTGGCATGCACCTGAAATTTTTAACAAAAATATGCTCCACTGTACATTTGTAAGTGCTCTTCAGGTACTGTCCGGGGCTTTTACATCTTGATCCAGACAAGAAAATACAGCATTTGGAATCTCACTGGCTAAACAACATAAAATAGATTTCAAAATATGATTTCTGTAAAGGTCCCTTACTACAATAAGAAATTACTGTAACATAGCTGGAAGAGAAAAACTAGAAATATATCTAGCAAGCATAAAAATCTCTGAAAACCTGAATAACAAGAACCTCCATCATAAAAGCTTACCATACCTGAACAGGATGGATGAGACCCTGGTTTAACGTCAGTGCAATGACATTTAGAGCAAAGTGGCGTACACTGGACTGCGTATGAAAAAAAGCCTCAAGAACCTGTTTGAGATATAGCTGCATGATGGAACTACTCATCCCTGAGGAAATATCACCCATTTCTTTCAGGTCTTCCTGCTTTGCTACTTTTTTCCCTGTAAAAAGGACAAAAGTAATAGCACACTCACCACAGTATAATCATTTACTTTGCCATTACTTGATGCATACTTTAAGCTTTACAATACATAGACATTTCATCTATTTTAGAATGGGATTATGATCTCATGAAACATAGCACAGTCTGATGGCAAATATACTTCAAAAAAACTAGAGACACAACTTTAAAGTCTTGTTCCTCAATAAAAGTTTTAATTTTAAAAATTTCTTATTTTGTAGCTGCAAATTAACCTTAGAGAAGATTTTGAGAAAAAGTATTACTACCATCATTACAGCAATTATGCATTATGGATTGCTTTCAGGATTTATACATCTTGAAAGTAAATAAGCTACACTTCTCAATATACCTATGCACATAATGAATTTTTGAAAATTATTCTAAGATACTTTGTGTACAATATTATTGATTAGATAACAATCTTAAGTGACTCAGTTCATGTATATAGTAATTGTATGCAAGTAAGTTAGGTTTTGCATGCCTCATTAGCACAGAAGAACTCAACACTTACAGTCTCTGTCTGCCTGCTGCATACGTGTATCCTCCTCCTGCAAGTAGGTCTGGAGGTTTTTTAACACCTGGATTTTTAAGTTTACTGAACAGTTCTTATCTGAAAGAATGCTGTTGTAGAGAGTCTTCACTTCCTGTTCGAACATTAAACTTGGGTGTTGTATAAATGCAAATCCTAAGGATGGAAGAAAAGAGGAAATATTCCACGTTATCTAGAAATTGCATTTCTGCTTTTTAAGAGGTATGAAATTTATCGACTCCCAACAGCATAGCTTTTTCTAGTACAAACAGTATTGTTTTTTCATATGGATGGCATTCTAAACTTATAAGGAGTTCTAATAGCCATGACAGTTCTATTAGAACTGAATTAGAATTAGACTTTGTCTGATAGATGGCCCAAAGCAGTTGCACTAAGAAGAGTTATACAGGTCTGGAAGCATGTCCAGTGTACCTGTCTGCATCTGAATGACTGGGAGGTCTTCCAAGAGGAAGTGAAGAACATTGCTAAAAATTACCCATTATTTTTCTAATACATTTGAATAAAAACATTCTACTGAAATTGTGAAGAGTTGTTCATATGGAGGCAGAGCAAATGTGAAAAAAATTGATAAATATCATGAATATTTAAAAAATAAAATATTAAAAGAAAAAAACATAGTGAACACAGTAAAATAACATTTATACCTCTCACTGTCATTATTCATACACCTATTAAGGTCTTCTCTTGAAAAATATAATCTGAAGCATTCCCAAGACTATATCTGT